ATGAATGAATGGATGAAGGGGGAGGGGCTGGGGGTGCGTGAATGAAAAGGCGGCCTCCGGGTGAGGACTCTGAGCGCAGCCCAGCCTGGCAGCGTGCCCTGGGCACTGGCTCTGCTTCAAGCACGGTCCACGGGGTGACACGTCTGTCGCCTGGCCTTCTCGGGCCGCATGGGGGACGTTGTGGAGTCAGGCGCTGTCTTGGTGGCCTGGGGCTGCTCTTCCTGTCCCCCACCGCTGCCCGCCTGATGCTGGGGGCTGGGGCTGGGGCTGGGGGCAGCGGCGCCTCTCCTGAGCCATGGGCCGAGGGTGGGATGCGGTCCTAGGCCCGGCCCGGCTGGACACCCGTGCTGCCCATGCCCTGGCATCAGCACGCTGGTCCTGAGGGAGGGGGACGCTGAAGCCACCCCGTGTCCCCTCCCTGGGAAGCTGGCAGGAGCTGGCCTCGGGGCTCTGGTCGTCCACTTGCGGCGCTGATCGAATGTGGAAACGGCTCCCGTTCTTCTTGCTGCAGCTAAGACCTTGGTGGTTGTGGCATTGATCTCCAACCCCAGGGGGCCCCCTGGGGTGTCCTCACCCCCCCCACCCCCCGTCCTTCTTGCAGAAAAGCTGGCGGATTGCAAGCTGAACGTGGCCGAGGTGACCCAGTCCGAGATAGGACAGAAGCAGAAGCTACAGACAGTTCTGGAAGCCGTGCAGGACCTGCTGCGGCCCCACGGCTGGGCCCTGCGCTGGAGCGTGGACTGTGAGAGCTGGGGGTCACTCATCCGTCACCGAGGCAGCCGTGGGGAGGGAGGACGGCAAGCAAGCACCACCTGCAGGGACTGTCACCTGCCGTGTCCCCCGGGGTGCGGGGCAGGGCAGGGAGGGTTCCACAGGCGCCAAGCCCAGGTGACTGCCAGCCTCGGGAACAGAGAGGCGCCAAGCCCAGGCGAGCTGTGTCACCGATGACCGCCAGCCTCGGGAACAGAGGCTGCAGCATCACACCTCAGCTCTGACACTGCACAGGGAGAGGCGGGCTGTTCTCAGCCCGCCGACCACACAGGGCTGTTGCTGGCCTTGAGGAGCTTAGGGGTCCTGGGGCTGAGTTCTGGGCCGTGGGGCAGGGACCTGGCTCGACCCCGATTCCTTGGCATGAGACCTTGGGTGGACCTTGCCTGCCTTCCTGGATTACGGGGCCATGAGTGGGGTAGTGAGGGCCTTGTAAACTAAAGCTCTGCCCAAGGGTGCTGGGCCTGGGCACTATCCCCGAGCTTTTTCACACAAGGCTGGCCCTCTCCTACTTGAACCACAGCTCCGCCTCGGCTTTTTGCTAGTTAATGGGAGATAAGAGTCTTGAAGACCTTCCTGCCTGGGCTGACTTTGAGTCACCGTCCTCAGATCTCAGCCTTCAGAGTGGCTGGGATTGCAGGCATGAGCCGCCGGAGCCTGTGTGCTGCTGCTGCTAGAACCTAGGATGGCATGTTCGGAGGGGGGCAGGGCCGGGGGGGTGAGAAGCAGCCAGGGCCAACCTGGTGGTGCAGGGTTAACACCTGGCATCTCTGCGCAGGGGTCACCCTCATCCACCAGCCGGGGTGGGAGGTGGGGGCTGCTTGCTCAGTGTCGACCCAGTGTCCCATCATTGTCATAGGCACTCGGCCACAACCCGTCCTTCCCTCTTGGGCCCCCACTTTCCAGCTCTTGAAAAAGCACGATGCTTTTAAAAGTGATTGCACGAGTCACCTTTGCCCCACAGAGCAACATTAGAAGCTAGAAATAGATTGGGGGTCGGGGGTCTGTTCCCGGCGGGCCGGCCTGCTCCGGCCTGGCCTCTGGGGCTGCCCTGCGTCCATCCAGACCTTGCCTGATGCACCCTCGTCCTTCTCCCGCTCCCAGCCGTCCACGGGAAGAACCTGGTGTCCATCCTGCACCTGCTGGTGGCCCTGGCCATGCACTTCCGGGCGCCAATCCGCCTCCCGGAGAGAGTGGCAGTGCAGGTGGTGGTGGTGCGGGTGAGTGCCCAGGTGTGCCGGTGGGGACAGACGGGCAGACGGACAGACGGCCTTCTCTTCCTGTTACCCCCCCCCCCCCCCCCCCCCCGCAAGAGCCTACCTTCGTTTTCCCCTCTTGCAATTTATATCTCGCCCTGGCTTCCAGATAAACGGCGGAGCGGGGACAATAGCACTGATCTTCTGAGGCTGGAGAGTTGAGGTTTCATTTCCCAGGGTTCTGAAAAGAACGCTCGTGTCTTTCCAAAGCCAGCTCGCGGGCATCAGCCCTCTTGAGTGTCTCTTTCCTCACCGGAGGGGCTGAGAGCCGCAGGATGAGATGCGCCCCAAATTAAAGGCTCTTACCCGAGAGCCCCAGGCTCCGTGAACGCTTTTTTTTTTGAGGTTCATTTCTCTTGATGTACGGGAGGAATGGAGCCAGGACTTGGCGCCTGACTGATGCAGGCAGAAGTAGGTCTGCCTCCATCAGCCTTTCTCCTCACCTCGAAGCACGGAGGGGCTCTGCACCCCGGGTTCCTGGGGCAGTTTTACCAGCAGGCAAACAGATGCCACACCTGGCCCTGGCACAGGGATGCAGGCCCCGCCTCCCCGGCCGCACTGCCCGCCGGTGGCTGAGCTTGCGCCAGGAGGCTGGATGTGTGTTTTACTGGAAGCATCTGGCCGCAGCCTTCCTGTGGGTTCTGAGCGTCCCAGTGCTGTGGTCTCCGTGGCCTGGGAAGGCCCTGGCTGGGCTGTGTTCTGAAGCCACGCTGACTCCTCTGTGACCTGGCGGGAAGGCCCTTCCCTGCACCAGGCTGTGTGGCCAGTCATTCCTCCGTCCTCCTGGGGACGTGTGTGTGTGATCCTGGGGGGCAACGCGGGCCCTGGGGCCGGTTCCCAGGCAGCCAGCCGGGAGAGGACATGTGGGAACTCGGGTTCCCGAATCCCCTGTGTGCAGGCCCAGGGGATAGGGGATTTCCTTTCAGCTTGGAGTTGGGGCCAAGATCATCTCTGGGCTTGTGTGGAAAGTCGGCCTGCCCCTCAAGCTCTTTCCGGCTCTCTCCGCCTCTCTTGAGCAGGTCACCGGATTCCTTAGGCCTTACCCCTAGGAGAAGGAAGCCAGGAGGGAGGGGCTGGCCAGCCTGAACCCTGGGGGAGGGTTCCCCAGAGCTGCCCCCACCCCCAGCCTGGCCTGCCTCCCCCTGCCCTGGGGGCCAGCTGCCTGGTCCGAGCCAGGGAAACGAGGCAGGGAGTTTTGGTGGATGGATGGTTGAAGGCCACGCCCGTCCCAGCGTGGCCGCGGTGGGTGGTGATTTCACAGTGCTGTGGTGATCCCCCTGTGGCACTTCAAATGCATGGCGAACCTTGACCCGTGTGCCGCGAAGAGCGTGTCTGTGGGCTCTTCCTCTGGGCTTTGCTCCATCAGGACTGGGGCCCTGAGCGGGTGTTTGCGCCCGGCAATCATTTCCCACGAGAGTTCTCACTGCGGGTCCCCAGCCCAGTCAGTGCGGGGGAAGGGGAGGAGGCCCACCCCCCATCCTGGGCAGCGTCTGTGGGAGGCTCCCTCACAGGAAGTGAGCTCCCCACCATCAGGAAGTTCCGTAGAGCCGCTGGCTGTGGCGGTGGTGGCTTCGCTGAGCTCCCAGGGGGCGTGGACTGTCCCAGGCCCCGTGACCTTTGTCTGTTCCCGGGTCTCCTGTGAGAGGTGCTGGTCATTGCCCGGTGTGGCCTCGCCGTGGCTGGGTTTGGGGGGGACCCGTCCACTCCCATGTCAGTGAATTGTCTCCCTGCATCTCCCCGGTGTCTCAGTGACCTTGTTTCAGCATTCCCTGGGGAGTGGGAGAAGGGGGAAGGGTGGGGGGCTGGTCCCGTGTGTTGCACCTGTGCCCAGGCATGGGGCAGGCAGCACCCCTTCATCCTACTGTCCCCATCTCAAATGGACTCCAGCCCCAGGACCTCTGTGCCAGCCCCTCCCGCCCCGGCCAGCCTGCCCGTGACCCCTGCATCCTCACCGCTGCCCTGCCGCCGTGTCTAGGTATTTATCTGTGTTTTTGGGGTTTTCAGAAGCGGGAAGGCCTCCTGCATTCCAGCCACGTCTCAGAGGAGCTGACCACAACCACAGAGTGAGTGAACCCCTGCCCCGGGCCGCGGGCTGCCCCAGCAAGGCCATGGGGGTGGGACGTGGCCCAGGGCGGCCTGCCCCTGGGAGCCCTTAATCTTAAATGCGCTTTCACGGGCCACACCCCGCACCCGGCTTCCTTCCTCCTGGGGCGCTCTAGCACTCTGTCTCTCTGTTTATCTCTCTCTGTGTCTCTCTGTCTCTCTATCTGTCTCTCTCTGTCTCTCTGTCTGTCTCTGTGTCTGTCTCTCTGTCTGTCTGTCTGTCTCTGTGTCTGTCTCTCTGTCTGTCTGTCTGTCTCTCTCTCTGTGTCTTTCTCTGTCTCTGTCTGTCTGTCTCTATCTGTCTGTCTCTGTATGTGTCTCTGTCTCTCTGTCTGTCTCTCTATCTCTGTGTCTCTGTCTGTCTGTCTGTCTGTCTGTCTCTGTCTGTCTCTGTCTCTCCCTCTCTCTCTGTCTGTCTCTCTGTGTCTCTCCCTCTCTGTCTGTCTGTCTGTGTCTCTCTGTGTCTCTCTCTGTCTGTCTCTCTGTCTCTCTGTGTCTCTCCCTCTCTGTCTGTCTGTGTCTCTCTCTCTGTCTGTCTGTCTCTCTGTCTCTCTCTGTCTTTCTCTGTCTCTGTCTGTCTGTCTGTCTCCGTGTGTGTCTCTCTCTGTCTCTCTCTGACTCTCTGTCTCTCTGTGTCTCTCTCTCTCTCTCTCTCTCTGTCTGTCTCTCTGTGTCTCTCTCTCTCTCTCTCTCTCTGTCTGTCTCTCTGTGTCTCTCCCTCTCTGTCTGTCTGTCTCTCTCTGTGTCTCTCTCTGTCTGTCTCTCTGTCTCTCTCTGTGTCTGTCTCTGTCTCTGTGTCTGTCTCTCTCTGACTCTCTCCCTCTCTGTCTGTCTGTCTCTCTCTCTGTCTGTCTCTCTGTGTCTCTCTTTGTGTCTCTCCCTCTCTCTCTCTGTCTGTCTCTCTGTGTCTCTCCCTCTCTGTCTGTCTGTGTCTCTCTGTGTCTGTCTGTCTCTCTGTCTCTCTCTGTGTCTGTCTCTGTCTCTGTCTCTGTGTGTCTCTCTCTGTCTCTCTCTGACTCTCTGTCTCTCTGTGTCTTTCTCTGTCTCTGTCTCTATCTGTCTGTCTCTGTATGTGTCTCTGTCTCTCTGTCTGTCTCTCTATCTCTGTGTCTCTGTCTGTCTGTCTGTCTGTCTCTGTCTCTCCCTCTCTCTCTCTCTGTCTGTCTCTCTGTGTCTCTCCCTCTCTGTCTGTCTCTCTGTCTCTCTCTGTGTCTGTCTCTGTCTCTGTCTCTGTGTCTGTCTCTCTCTGACTCTCTGTCTCTCTGTCTGTCTGTCTGTCTCTCTCTCTCTGTCTGTCTGTCTCTCTGTGTCTCTCTTTGTGTCTCTCCCTCTCTCTCTCTCTCTGTTTCCACATTAGAACTGAGCAACTTTCCAAGGCGTTTTGGTTTGGTACCTGTGCAGGGGAGGGGCCGCGTGGGCAGGTGGGCGGGAAGGGTGCGCCCAGCACCGCGACCCGGTGCTGCCGTCCCTCCCCTTGGCTGGCTACCTCACACTTTCCAGAACTTTCCAACTAGAACTTTTCTTTGGCAGACATCACTAAGCCAGCATCTCTGGTCTGTTAGGAAAAGCCGGGGCACGTCTTTTTTAGTTAGTTTTTTTTTTAAAGACATTTAAAAACCTGCACCCCTCTTGAAATAAGCAAAGCCGCGGGCATATTGTGCGGCTTCTGAGCCGTCAGGACGCCACTTCAGAGGAGGCACGGCCGTGGTCTCCGCCGAACCCCTAGCTCCAGCCAGGGCCTAATGACGGGGTTCTGAAGCCCCGTGAGGCCTTTCACACACAGGCCGACCCAGACACCAGCCGCACGTGTGTGGCTGTGCACGTGTGCACGCATGTGCATGCTGCCTGAAGCTGTGGAGTGGCCCTGGGGCCAGCACAGGCACTGGTACAGCCTCACAGCCCCCCACAGCCCACGAGTGCACAGTCCTCCCACAGCCCACGAGTGCACAGTCTTCCCACAGCCCACGAGTGCACAGTCCTCCCCACAGCCCACGAGTGCACAGTCCTCCTGCAGCCCACGAGTGCACAGTCCTCCCCACAGCCCACGAGTGCACAGTCCTCCCACAGCCCACGAGTGCACAGTCCTCCCCACAGCCCACGAGTGCACAGTCCTCCTGCAGCCCACGAGTGCACAGTCCTCCTGCAGCCCACGAGTGCACAGTCCTCCCCACAGCCCACGAGTGCAGAGTCCTCCTGCAGCCCACGAGTGCACAGTCCTCCCCACAGCCCACGAGTGCAGTCCTCCCCACAGTCCCACGAGTGCACAGCCCCCCACAGCCCACGAGTACACAGTCTTCCCACAGCCCACGAGTGCACAGTCCTCCCACAGCCCACGAGTGCACAGTCTTCCCACAGCCCACGAGTGCACAGTCCTCCCCACAGCCCACGAGTGCACAGTCCTCCTGCAGCCCACGAGTGCACAGTCCTCCTGCAGCCCACGAGTGCACAGTCCTCCCCACAGCCCACGAGTGCAGAGTCCTCCTGCAGCCCACGAGTGCACAGTCCTCCCCACAGCCCACGAGTGCAGTCCTCCCCACAGTCCCACGAGTGCACAGCCCCCCACAGCCCACGAGTGCACAGTCTTCCCACAGCCCACGAGTGCACAGTCCTCCCACAGCCCACGAGTGCACAGTCTTCCCACAGCCCACGAGTGCACAGTCCTCCCCACAGCCCACGAGTGCAGAGTCCTCCTGCAGCCCACGAGTGCACAGTCCTCCCCACAGCCCACGAGTGCAGTCCTCCCCACAGTCCCACGAGTGCACAGCCCCCCACAGCCCACGAGTGCACAGTCTTCCCACAGCCCACGAGTGCACAGTCCTCCCACAGCCCACGAGTGCACAGTCTTCCCACAGCCCACGAGTGCACAGTCCTCCCCAAAGCCCACGAGTGCAGAGTCCTGCAGCCCACGAGTGCACAGTCCTCCCCACAGCCCACGAGTGCACAGTCCTCCCCACAGCCCACGAGTGCAGAGTCCTCCTGCAGCCCACGAGTGCACAGTCCTCCCCACAGCCCACGAGTGCACAGTCCTCCTGCAGCCCACGAGTGCACAGTCCTCCTGCAGCCCACGAGTGCACAGTCCTCCCCGCAGCCCACGAGTGCACAGTCCTCCCCGCAGCCCACAAGTGCACAGTCCTCCTGCAGCCCATGAGTGCACAGTCCCCAGAGCCCACGAGTGCACAGTCCTCCCCACAGCCCACGAGTGCACAGTCCTCCTGCAGCCCACGAGTGCACAGTCCTCCCCACAGCCCACGAGTGCACAGTCCTCCCCAGAGCCCACGAGTGCACAGTCCTCCCCACAGCCCCACGAGTGCACAGTCCTCCCCACAGCCCACGAGTGCACAGTCCTCCTGCAGCCCACGAGTGCACAGTCCTCCCCACAGCCCACGAGTGCACAGTCCTCCTGCAGCCCACGAGTGCACAGTCCTCCCCACAGCCCACGAGTGCACAGTCCTCCTGCAGCCCACGAGTGCACAGTCCTCCTGCAGCCCACGAGTGCACAGTCCTCCCACAGCCCACGAGTGCACAGTCCTCCCCACAGCCCACGAGTGCACAGTCCTCCCACAGCCCACGAGTGCACAGTCCTCCCACAGCCCACGAGTGCACAGTCCTCCCCACAGCCCACGAGTACACAGTCCTCCCCGCAGCCCACGAGTGCACAGTCCTCCCCACAGCCCACGAGTGGACAGTCCTCCCACAGCCCACGAGTGCACAGTCCTCCCCACAGTCCCACGAGTGCACAGTCCTCCCACAGCTCACGAGTGCACAGTCCTCCTGCAGCCCACGAGTACACAGTCCTCTTGCAGCCCACGAGTGCACAGTCCTCCCACAGCCCACGAGTGCAGTCCTCCCCACAGCCCCACGAGTGCACAGTCCTCCCCGCAGCCCACGAGTGCACAGTCCTCCCACATCCCACGAGTGCACAGTCCTCCCCACAGCCCACGAGTGCACAGTCCTCCCCACAGCCCACGAGTGCACAGTCCTCCTGCAGCCCACGAGTACACAGTCCTCCTGCAGCCCACGAGTGCACAGTCCTCTCCACAGCCCACGAGTGCACAGTCCTCCCCACAGCCCACGAGTGCACAGTCCTCCCCACAGCCCACGAGTGCACAGTCCTCCCCACAGCCCACGAGTGCACAGTCCTCCCCACAGCCCACGAGTGCACAGTCCTCCCCACAGTCCACGAGTGCACAGTCCTGCAGCCCACGAGTGCACAGTCCTCCCGCAGCCCACGAGTGCACAGTCCTCCTGCAGCCCCAAGAGTGCACAGGGCTCCTCTTTCCCTACTTCCCTCCCCCACAGCCCCTAGGGAGCCCCAGGCCTTGTCCTGGAGGGCGGAGAACCACTGTGGGGTGGATGGTGGTCTCTGCCCACATGGCTGGGACCCAGCAGCAGGGGGAGCAGCGGAAGGGTTCTGGGGTACAGGTGGGCGGGGTGGGGCCTTGCTTGTCTATACCCAGGAAACCACCTGGGTCATTTCACCAGCCTCTGATGCTGGTGCCACTGGCCATCAGGGCTGGGCTGGGAGGGGGCGCTTTGCTCTTGGCCTGGTCTAAGTGGGACCCCCGCCACCCCTTGTCACCACCAGGCTTGTCCCAGGCCGCCAGGGAGTAGGTGTGTAGCCCAGTCTCATGTCCCCCCTGCAGCCACAGAGATCTGCTAGGTTATTAATGGTATCATCCCTGCGGCTGCCTCCTTCTGGTCTTGGCCTTCTAGTGGCCAAGAGGCAGCCATGAGGTCCCCTCCTCCAGGAAGCGCTCTGATCGGCTAAGCAGGAGCACAGGGCTTCCTTTCTGCTCCTACTATGTGTCCAGCCTGGGAGAAACAATGGCCTAGGAGACACCCCTGTCCTCGGAGCACTGTGGGGTGTCTGTCTCCCTGGCGCCCACATAGTAGATGTTCAAGTAAACACAGTAGATAAGATGGAGCCAAGGGGCATGCTCAGAGTGTGGTTTGGGGAGGGGAACAGGTCTGCTGATGGTGCTGGGCAGCACTGGGCAGGGGCAGAGCACCTGGGCGCGGGGACCGTTATTGCTGCCCCTCGGCAGGTCGGCCCCAAGGCCCGGCCTCGGGGAGTCTTTGAGGTATGTTTTGCCCTGAAGGTGCCCTGGCTGAGCTCCAGCCTCTGGTGCCCAGGCTGGCAGGGCCGCGCCCGCCCCTCCATGGCATTCCCACCCCCACCCCCTCCAGAGGGCCCGGGAAGAGGGGGTGGCGGCACCCGTGCGAGTGCTCTGCCCGTCATGAGAGCTGCATAGAGTGTAGCACAGTGGGAGCCTGGCCAGCTCTGCCCAGCATGGGGTCGGCTCACTGGAGCAGGTCCCAGTCACTGCCTGACAGCATGCTCTCTCTCTCTCTCTGCAGGATGATGACGGGCAGGTTTGGTAAGTAGCCGGGGCCGTGGCACTTGGAGGGTCTTAGGCACACCAGCACCGTCCCAGCAGCCCTTGGCTCACGTGCTCCTGTGGGGGGCAGGGGAGGGGCCCGGGGTCCCTTCCTGGAGCATGGGGGGAGGGGGAGGTTTGGGGATGAGGCCCCTCTGTCACTGTGGGGTACCGGGAGGGAGGAGGGTCCCCCAGAGGGACCCAGTACCCCCAGGCCTCTGCTCTTTGCAGATCTCCCTGCGGTCAGGCCACCGGCCTGGCCGCTCAGACATCTGCTCGCTGTGTGGGGACAGTTCAGGGCCCGGTGCCCGGGGCAGGGTGCCTGCGGTGCCTCACCAAGCCTGTGACTGCGCCCGGTTCCTGAGTTGTCAGGGCTATTCCCAAAGGGGCCAGGTCACTCACCCTGCACCCCGCTAAAGCCGGGACCCATGCCCCACCCCGTGTGACCTGGTGAAGGCGGTGGCAGCTGTGTCAGCTCCCTGCCCCCAGGGGCAGGAGCAAGGGCCGCAGCCTGGCCAATGGCACTCCCTTGGGGTACGTGTGTGTGTGAATATGTGTATGTGTGTGAATATATGTATGTGTGTGTAAATATATATGTGTGTGAATATATATGAATATATGTGAGCTATATATATTTGTGTGGGTATTTGTGAGTGTGTGTGTGTGTGTGTGTGTGTGTGGTGCCAGTCCTGGGGCTTGAACTCAAGGCCTGGATGCTGTCCCTGAGTTTGCGCAAAGCTAACATTACCAACTGAGCCATTGCTTCACTTCTGGCTTTTTGGCAGTTCATTGGAGATGAGTCTCTTGGACTTTACTGCTTGAGCTGACTTTGAAATGTAATCCTCAGATCTCAGCCTCCCGAGTAGCTGGGATGACAGATGTGAGCCACTGGCGCGTGGCTTCTTTGAAAGGTCTGGAGCAGCTCCGTGGGCCCGAGCTCTCTCTGGTAGACTGAGGCAGTGCTGGGAAAGGTTAGAGGCGCTGCTGATGCTTTTTAAAGCAGTTCAGCTCCCTCGATCTGTATCATCCGTTAACAGTCCCCAAAGGTGACCCGTGGGGTGGGGGCAGCCACGAGCCTGCGTGCCACCCTGAACATGTCCAGGTGGAGGCCGGTTTGAGGCCTCTCGGCTCTGCCTGGCAAGGCTCTGACGCCTCCAGGACTCCGGGGTCTGTGGCTCAGCCTGGGCTCCAGTTTGGTGGACTTGAGGGGGAGCTGGGCCGTGGGGTGGTGGAGCGGGCAGCCTCGGGAGGGCCCTGTGGGCCCAGGCACGGGGCGGCCCTGGGGCCACAGCCAGGTGTGCGGTGGGAGCGCGAGGACATTTGAGGCCATGAGCGAGCGGCCCGCATTATTCTCCTCGTCACCCAGCGCGAGAGATGAAACAGGCTATTAGCCGGTGACAGGCAATTAGTCCCGCCCCCGCCGCTCCGCTGACGCAGGCGACAGTCTCCTAGCGACCTGACCAGCACCCGGGCACGGTGGGGCTCCTGGGCTCCCATTCTCGGCCCTCGTCCGCTCCAGACCCCGCGCCTCCCTGTCCTGCAGGGGCCTCAGACCCCGCGCCTCCCTGCCTGCAGGGGCCACCCCCCTCCTCCTAGGGGCACAGGCTCCTCCCTGGGCCCTGGTCTGCTCTTCCATCTGCAGGTGCAAATCCCATTGTTGGGGGGCCTAAAGCGCCCCTAAACACATCTGCTTCGCCCATAGCCCTGTGGGGACCCGACAGCCTTCTCCTGCCGGGCCCCTCTCCCCCTCTCTCCCCCCTCCCCCCACAAGTGTACAGACCAGCCTGGGGCTCCCAGCCGCTGTGAGCACGCCCCGCTGAGACGCACTCCTTCTAGATGGCTCTGTGACTCACGCCCTCAGCTCTGGGGGGTTGTCACTTGACATCGACTCCCCCACCCTGAACTGGCATCTGCTGGCTCCTGTACCCCACCCGGCCAGGCTTGCCGCTGCAGTCATGCTCATGGTGGCTTGTGTGTGCGCGTGTGTGAACATGTGCATGCGTATGCGCGTGCTCATGGCTGTGATTGTGCACGCCGGCCTGTGTGTGCGTGCATGTGCGTGCTCACGGCTGTGATTGTGCATGCCGGCCTGTGTGTGTGTGTGTGTGTGTGCATGCATGTGCGTGCTCACGACTGTGATTGTGCACGCCGGCCTGTGTGTGTGTGTGTGCGTGCGTGCTCACGGCTGTGATTGCGCACGCCAGCCTGTGTGTGTGTGTGTGCATGTGCATGCTCACATCTGTGATTGTGCACGCTGGCCTGTGTGTGTGCGTGCATGTGCATGCTCACGGCTGTGATTGTGCACGCCAGCCTGTGTGTGTGTGTGCGTGCATGTGCATGTGCGTGCTCACGTCTGTGATTGTGCACGCCGGCCTGTGTGTGTGCATGCATGTGCGTGCTCACGGCTGTGATTGTGCACGCCAGCCTGTGTGTGTGTGCGTGCATGTGCGTGCTCACGGCTGTGATTGTGCACGCCAGCCTGTGTGTGTGTGTGTGTGCGTGCATGTGGGTGCTCATGGCTGTGATTGTGCACGCTGGCATGCGTGTGTGTGTGCGTGCATGTGCGTGCTCACGGCTGTGATTGTGCACGCCAGCCTGTGTGTGTGTGTGTGTGCGTGCATGTGCATGCTCACGGCTGTGACTGTGCACGCCGGCCTGTGTGTGTGTGTGTGTGCATGTGCGTGCTCACGGCTGATTGTGCACGCCGGCCTGTGTGTGTGTGTGTGCGTGCATGTGCGTGCTCACGGCTGTGATTGTGCACGCCGGCCTGTGTGTGTGTGTGTGTGTGCATGTGCGTGCTCACGGCTGTGATTGTGCACGCCGGCCTGTGTGTGTGTGCATGTGCATGCTCACGGCTGTGATTGTGCATGCCGGCCTGTGTGTGTGTGTGCATGTGCGTGCTCACGGCTGTGATTGTGCACGCCAGCCTGTGTGTGTGTGCATGTGCATGCTCACGGCTGTGATTGTGCACGCTGGCCTGCGTGTGTGTGCGTGCATGTGCGTGCTCATGGCTGTGGTTGTGCACGCTGGCCTGTGTGTGTGTATGCATGTGCGTGCTCACGGCTGTGATTGTGCATGCCGGCCTGTGTGTGTGCGCGTGCATGTGTGTGCTCATGCCTGTGATTGTGCACGCTGGCCTGCATGTGTGTGCGTGCATGTGCATGCTCACGGCTGTGATTGTGCATGCCGGCCTGTGTGTGTGTGTGTATGCATGTGCGTGCTCACAGCTGTGATTGTGCACGCTGGCCTGTGTGTGTGTGTGTGCGTGCATGTGCGTGCTCATGGCTGTGATTGTGCACGCCGGCCTGTGTGTGTGTGTGCATGCTCACGGCTGTGATTGTGCATGCCGGCCTGTGTGTGTATGCGTGTGTGTGCATGTGCGTGCTCATGGCTGTGATTGTGCACGCTGGCCTGTGTGTGTGTGCATGTGCGTGCTCACGGCTGTGATTGTGCACGCCGGCCTGTGTGTGTGTGTGTGTGCGTGCGTGTGCGTGCATGTGCGTGCTCATGGCTGTGATTGTGCACGCCGGCCTGCGTGTGTGTGCGTGCATGTGCGTGCTCACCCCTGTGATTGTGCACGCCGGCCTTCCTGTGTGCACCTGGCAGGCTGGGGCAGTGGGATGGGTGGCACCCCTCCCCATCCTGCACCCCAGCTCTGTGACGTGTCCTGCGGGCTGGAGCATCCTGCCGGTGGCCTGGGCCCTCTGTGGTGGGATCCGCAGGCAGGAGCCGTCGGAGCTTCCGGAAGCCTCTGGAACTCCAGGCAGACCCTCTTGGGCTAAAGGCTGCCTGCAGGCTTTGCTGGGCTCCTGCTTTCTCCTGTGCCGCTCTGAGCTCCACGCCAGCCACGTCCCGGGGCTGTGGCAGGTGCATCCCCCTCCCCCCCCCCCCCCCCCAGCAGGCTTTTCTCTCTCTCTTAGGAGCCCAGGTTGTAGCCTGGTCTCCATGGCAACGGCTCTGCTGGTTGCTCTTGAGTGGAAGGCACCCCTCCCCCCCGCCGGCTCTGGCTCCGGGCTGAGTCCTCCCTGAGCCGTCAGGACAGGGGCGCGGGGGCCGCCAGCCTCTCCCCTTCCCATCTCCCCATTCCTGCCAGCCTGGCTGCTCCAGACCCTGCCCTAGCCCGGTGCTGGCGGCTCACGACCTTAATCCTAGCCACTCGGAAAGCTGAGATCTGAGGAGCAAAGTTCAAAGCCAGCCCAGGCAGGAAAATCCACGAGGCTCTTACCTCCAATTAACCAGCAAAACGCTAGAAGTGGCGTCATGACTCAAGTGGTAGAGTGCAGCTGTGAGGGAAAAAGCCAAGAACCAGTGCCCAGACCCTGAATCCAAGCCCCAGCACTGCACAAAAATAAACTGACCTGATGCCAAGGCCCCGGCGGCCGACCCTACCATAGGACAGGCCCCGCCGGCCTCCCTCACTGGTCACCCCGCTCTCGGTCAGCGCTGGCCCCGCCGGCCTCCCTCACTGGTCACCTTGCTCGGTCAGTGCTGGCCCCGCCGGCCTCCCTCACTGGTCACCTTGCTCGGTCAGTGCTGGCCCCGCCGGCCTCCCTCACTGGTCGCCTTGCTCGGTCAGCGCTGGCCCCGCCGGCCTCTCCCTGGTCACCTTGCTCAGTCAGCGCTGGCCCCGCCGGCCTCCCTCACTGGTCACCTTGCTCTCGGTCAGCGCTGGCCCCGCCGGCCTCTCCCTGGTCACCTTGCTCGGTCAGCGCTGGCCCCGCCGGCCTCCCTCACTGGCCACCTTGCTCGGTCAGTGCTGGCCCCGCCGGCCTCCCTCACTGGCCACCTTGCTCGGTCAGTGCTGGCCCCGCCGGCCTCCCTCACTGGTCACCCCGCTCTCGGTCAGCGCTGGCCCCGCCGGCCTCTCCCTGGTCACCTTGCTCGGTCAGCGCTGGCCCCGCCGGCCTCCCTCACTGGTCACCTTGCTCGGTCAGCGCTGGCCCCGCCGGCCTCCCTCACTGGTCACCCCGCTCTCGGTCAGCGCTGGCCCCGCTGGCCTCCCTCACTGGTCACCCTGCTCTCGGTCAGTGCTGGCCCTGCTGGCCTCCTTCACTGGTCACCTTGCTCGATCAGCGCTGGCCCTGCTGGCCTCCCTCACTGGTCACCTTGCTCGGTCAGCGCTGGCCCCGCCGGCCTCCCTCACTGGTCACCTTGCTCGGTCAGCGCTGGCCCCGCCGGCCTCTCCCTGGTCACCTTGCTCGGTCAGCGCTGGCCCCACCGGCCTCCCTCACTGGTCACCTTGATCGGTCAGTGCTGGCCCCGCCGGCCTCCCTCACTGGTCACCTTGCTCGGTCAGCACTGGCCCTGCCGGCCTCCCTCACTGGCCACCTTGCTCGGTCAGTGCTGGCCCTGCCAGCCTCTCCCTGGTCACCCCGCTCTCGGGTCAGTGCTGGCCCCGCCGGCCTCTCCCTGCTCACCCCGCTCTCGGTCAGCGCTGGCCCCGCCGGCCTCGCCCTGGTCACCTTGCTCGGTCAGCGCTGGCCCCGCCGGCCTCCCTCACTGGTCACCTTGCTCGGTCAGCGCTGGCCCCGCCGGCCTCTCCCTGGTCACCTTGCTCGGTCAGCGCTGGCCCCGCCGGCCTCCCTCACTGGCCACCTTGCTCGGTCAGTGCTGGCCCCGCCGGCCTCCCTCACTGGTCACCCCGCTCTCGGTCAGCGCTGGCCCTGCCGGCCTCCCTCACTGGTCACCTTGCTCGGTCAGCGCTGGCCCTGCCGGCCTCTCCCTAGTCACCTTGCTCGGTCAGCGTTGGCCCCGCCGGCCTCCCTCACTGGTCACCCCGCTCTCGGTCAGTGCTGGCCCCGCCGGCCTCCCTCACTGGTCACCCTGCTCTCGGTCAGTGCTGGCCTCGCCAGCCTCTCCCTGGTCACCTTGCTCTTGAGCAAGGTTTTCTGGTGGTTCCTTGGAGATAAGAGTCTCACTGACTTTCCTGCCAGGGCTGGCTTTGAACCGGGATCCTCATATCTCAGCCTCCTGAGTAGCTAGGGTTTCCGGCGTGAGCTCCTGCGGCCTGGCAACGCTGAGCTTTTGAGGACTCCGCACATTGTTTCTTCTGCCTGTGATGGTCTTCCCTGCTTCTCACAGCAGCTGGAGGGTTCTGAGGCCACGGCCCGTCCTCTCGGGGCCAGCCCCCACCCCTTCGGACCTCTGGGTCCTAGGAGGGGATGTGGCCAGGCTGTCATGTCAGCTGTGACAGACAGCTGCCCTTTGCCTGGTGTGGTGGCCGTCCCCAAGCGCAGCCAGCTTCCTGCTCTGCAAGAAAAGCCAGGAGCCTCGGGCTCTGGGGCCAGACGTGGAGACAGTTTTCCACGGTCCCCATGAGGAGCGAGCGCGAGTGCGCATCCTATCTGGGGACCCCAGGACCCCAGTCGGCCTGGTCCTGGCCCCACGGGACTGCACCTCCAGTTTGCCCTGCCCATCCCCCAGCCTGGCCTTCTCCAGGGCCTGACCCAGACTCTGCGGCCAGAGCGCCCCCATCCCGGCCGATCTCCTGGGTGCAGGTGAGCCGTGGCTGAGGCTCGCAGGACCGCGTGCCGCCCCCCTCCCCCCACCTCCCCACCCCCCCGTGAGGCTGACTCCACCACCCAGCGGTGGCCCGGCTAAATTTACCACTGACGTCAGGCTTTGCTTAAGCGGCTTTGAAAGTTTGCGATGGCTCATGGGGACTTAGCTGCCGTTTTCGCCCCTGAACAGCTGTCTTAGGGAGGATAATCTGACTTACAGGGGCTGGAGAATAATTTACATCTGCTGCTAGGGGAGGGGTGGCGGCCTGGGGTCCCCGGGGCCCCGCAGCCCCTCCCCCCCACATGTGCACACACCAGGCCACACACATGCGCACATGTGCACATGTGTGCAACATGCTGGTGCCTTCTTTCCCTCCCCCCCCCAGGCTAAGGCAGGGGCCGGAGGGCTGGGCTGGCAGGAGCAGCCTCCCGCCCCGCTGCCCCGCACCTGGTCTTGGGGCCGGGGTGGGGAGAAAGCCTGGCCAGTATCTCTCCTCCGCTTCCTCTCCCTCTGCTGGGCTCATCTTCCGTGCTCCTCCCCTCCCTCACGCAGCCCCGCCCATCCGCACCCCTGCCCCCTGTCAGCCTTGCCCTCGGAGCATACCCCAGGGCTCCCAGGCAGACATCGGGCATCCGTCCCTTCCAGATCACCCCACCAGCTCCTCCCGGAGTCCCCAGGTGGTGGCTGACCACCACTGCTAGCCCTTCTGTCCTGGAGCCAGAGACAGCCACTAGGGGCTAAAGGCTCAGCGGACAGCAAAGAGCCAGTCAAGAGTCATTTCAAGTAAACTGCCCCGGGTCGGGGAGGGAGGCGGGATAGACCAGGGCCGGCTCCTGATTCACAGCCTGAGGGCTGCAGGCAGCGAGGTCAGGTGCAAAGGCCCAGGTGGGCACGGCCTGCCGGGGAAGCTGGTCAGGAGAGTGAGTTCTGCGAAGGGCAGCTGAGGCCGAGCTTTCTGCGTGCCACAGGAAGCCCACAGGAGTGGGGATGGGCTCTGTCCTGAGGGTGTCCATCTCGGCTCCCCAAGTGGCTGGGATTACAGGCCAGAGCCACTGGCTCCCAGCCTGCAGGGGAGGATGGATGGTCTGAGCCTGGTGACCACAGGCAAGGGGGGGCGGTGGCAGAAGTGCTCATGCCTGTAGTCCCAGCTACTCCAGAGACTGAGACCTGAAGACTGGGATCCAAAGCTGGCCAGGCAGGAACCACCAAAAGAGCCGGAAGCGGAGCTGTGGCTCAAGTAGCAGAGCGCCAGCCTTTAGTGAAAAACGAAGGGACTGCGCCCAGGCCCTGAGCTCAAGCCCCAGGACCAGCGTGCTCACGCTCACACTCGCACACACCACCTCATCTCTGGGTCTGATCTTCTGTGGCTGCTCCACAGTGGGCTGTGTCCCCTGCTTGTGCCCAGGCTTGGTGCCAGACTTGCCTGCGGCTGCGGCAAAAACCAGTGCACACTCAGGTTCTACGTGGTCGGGAATTGGCACACACCCCAGCGGTCGGTCGGGGTCAGAGCAGCACGCGCTGCCTCCTAACCCTCCCCCCTCTCATCCACGCATCTGCAGAGCGGGACGCCTTCGACACGCTTTTTGACCACGCCCCGGACAAGCTGAACCTCGTGAAGAAGGTAAGATGCCATGCGCCTGGCCCAGCACCCTCGGGAGGGAGGTGCGGATGCGCTGGGAACCTGAGCTGTTGGCAGTGGGGACCAACATGCAACTGCAGCCAGAAATATAACTCCCGTGCACAAAATGAGCACCTTTAACTCCGCTCCCGCTCGGTGCCCCCCCCCCCCTGTTAAGTGCATCTCCTCCCGCACCTGTCAGGCACCTCACGGCCGTTCGTTCCGGTGCAGGTGTGTGTGCGGGCGTGTCAGCCCGCTGTGGTCACCTGCCTGCCCCCAGAGCCGTTTGTGGGCGCCTGCCCCTCTCCTGGCAGGAGGGAGCCCCGCCGCCCATGCCCCGGGCCTGGGGCGCCTCTCTGCACAGGATGCGTCCCGAGAGGCCGAGCCGCAGCCAGCAGCTGCGGGCGTCTGCCAGGACAGCCGGCTCCCTGTGAAGGATGGCGCCCCTCCGCCCCGCACAGGGGGGGAGCCCCTCCGCCCCACACGGGGGGGAGCCCCTCCGCCCCGCGCACGGGGGTGGGGAGCCCCTCCGCCCCACATGGGGGGGAGCCCCTCCGCCCCGCGCACGGGGTGGGGAGCCCCTCCGCCCTGCACACAGGGGCCGGCCAGCTCCCGTGGCTCCTCGGTGGCTTTCTTATGTCCCCGGGCCTCAGCACAGTGCACACAGCCCCGCCACCGCCCTGGGGCCCCCCAGGCCCAGCTGGGCTGACGGGGGAGGAGGCCCTGCCCCCTTGACCTCCTGGCCCCGCTGCCTGCCGGCCAGGGAAACGGGCATGGAAGGGCTGTGTGTTGAGTGCCAGGCCACGGGCAGATCCCCACCCTGTGCGGGCCCTGCACCCCCTTCCCTGCCCACTGCAGGGCCCCTGAGGAGGCCGGGGTCCGCCACCTCCCCTCGCACCATCCCCTCCCCAAGCACTGCAGCCTGAAGCGCGCCCGTGCCCGCATGGCGTGGTGCCCATGCGTCGTGGTGCCCCTGCTGTGGTGCTCGCGTGGCGTGGTGCCCATGCGTCGTGGTGCCCGTGCTGTGGTGCCCGTGTGGCGTGGTGCCTGTGGTGTGGTGCCCGCGTGGCGTGGTGCCCGTGGTGTGGTGCTCGCGTGGCGTGGTGCCCGCATGTCATGGTGCCGGCGCGTTGTGGTGCCCGCGTGGTGTGGTGCCCGCCTGTTGTGGTGTCCGCGTGGCATGGTGCCCATGGCGTGGTGCCTGCACAGCGTGGTGCTGTGCAGCCTGGGCACCAGCGCTGCAGCTCCATCTCCCACCCCGGTGGTGCCAGTGGCCCCTCAGCCCTGCCTGCTTGTGAAACACCCCGGGTGGCAGCGTGCCCCGCTGGGAGACACTGGGAGACGCCGGGGACACTGGGAGATGCTGGGGAGGCGCTGGGAGATGCTGGGAGGCGCTGGGAGATGCTGGGGAGGCGCTGGGAGATGCTGGGAGGCGCTGGGAGATGCTGGGAGGCGCTGGGAGATGCTGGGAGGCGCTGGAGGCGCTGGGAGATGCTGGGAGGCACTGGGAGATGCTGGGGAGACACTGGGAGGCGCTGGGAGATGCTGGGAGGCACTGGGAGATGCTGGGGAGACGCTGGGAGGCGCTGGAGATGCTGGGAGACGCCGGGGGACACTGGGAGATGCTGGGGAGGCGCTGGAGGCGCTGGGAGATGCTGGGAGGTGCTGGAGATGCTGGGAGGCGCTGGAGACGCTGGAGACGCTGGGAGGCGCTGGAGACGCTGGAGACTTCCCCACGGGCTTCTTGTCCCAGCTCCAAGCACCGGGCACCAAGCGCTCCAGCAGCGCCCGGGCACCCAGCAGCCAGGCCTGGTCCCCAGGCCCCTGGACTGCAACCATGTCTGCCTCCTGCCGTCCTGTGAGCGTGCGCACTGTCCACGACTCAAGCTTACATCCGGGGACTGCTCCGCCCTCCCCCCTCCCTCCCCCCTTCCCTCCCTCCCCCTTCCTCTTTCTCTTTTGTGTGGGGGTTGGAACCAGGGCCTGATCTTGGGCGTCTCTCTCTCACTTGGCTTTCTTGTTCATGGCTGATGTTCTACCCTTGGAGCCATGCCTCCTGGTCCAGCTTTTTGCTGGTTACCTGGACTGGCTTCAGTCTGTGCTCCTCCCAGTCTCAGCCGCCTGAGTGGCTCGGATGACTGCTGAGCGGAGCCCTCAGCACCGGGCCAGGGGCGTTTATCCATTGATTGACTGACTTATTGATTGATAGGACCTGGACTCAACTTCAGAGGCTTGTGCTCTCTTAGCTTGCTTGCTCATCCCTGGCTCTCCACCACTTAAGCTACACCTCCGGTCCAAAGTGCAGTGTGTGTGTGTGTGTGTGCGCGCGTGCGTGCGTGCGTGCGCTGGGGCTGGGGCTTGAACTCGGGGTCTGGGCCCTGTCCCTGAGCTTCTTTGGCTCAAGGCTAGCACTCTTTCCCTTAAGCTATAGCGCTACTTTGAGTAGTTTACTGGAGGTAAGGGTGTCATGGACTTTCCTGCCCAGCTTTTGAACCACAGTCCTCAGATCTCAGCCTCCGAGTAGCTGGGATCACAGGGTGAGCCACCGAGCCTGGCCCCAAAGGCGTTTTTAAGAATTTCCTTGGAACAGTTCTGGGTGTGAGTGATGGAGTCCATGCGTCCCGGCTCGGCCTTGACTGGTGGATGGTCCCCACCAGGGTTCTGGGAGGTGGGGGCGCAGACCCGCAGACCCCGGGCGGGGGGTTGAAACATGGGCTCCTCGTTTTAGGGGACAGGAGAGGGTGACGGCCCCGGGCGCTGAGCGCGGGTTCACCGCATGCCGTCGCTGATGGCACCTCCTCCCTCCCCTCCTCCCTCCCCTCCTCCCTCCCCTCCTCCCTCCCCTCCCCTGCCAGTCTCTCATCACCTTCGTGAACAAGCACCTGAACAAGCTGAACCTGGAGGTGGCCGAGCTGGAGACGCAGGTAGGCGCGCGGTGCAGCCCCTCCACCCAGCCCGGGGTGGGGGCAGGCTGGCCCCCTTCCGTCCTTCGGGGGCTCCCCAAAGTGTCCCAAAGCGGTGACTGAGACCACAGAAATATGTGCCCATTCTAGGGCCCCGCGTGCCAGGGAAGATGGCGGCATGGCCGGCTCTTGGGGCCTCGGGGACCCTGCCCCCCGCCTTTCTCTCGGGGGCTGGCCGTTCCCCGGCCTCCTCTGCCGCCCCTGGCCGGCAGGTGTGTCACTGCCATCTCTGCCTCCGTCCCGGGAGCAGAGCACACCCCCGCCCACCCTGAACTACAGGAAACCCAGTTCCACATCTGCCACACCAGGATGGACTCCCATCTTTTTCGTGTGTGTGTGCACGCCTGTCCTGGGACTTGAACTCAGGGCCTGGACGCTGTCCCTTAACTTTTTTGCTCTACCACTTGAGACACAGCTTCACTTCTGGCTTTTTGGTGGTCAATTGGAGGTAAGAGTCTCTTGGACTTTCCTGCCCCAGCTGGTTTTGAACCATGATCTTCAGTCTCCGCCCCATGAGTAGCTAGGATTACAGGTGTGAGCTACGGACGTAGTTCCAGCAGCTATCTGGGATACGCAGTTCCACCCAGCAAATCCTCCCAGCCTCTGCTCCATGCACCACAGGGCCTTTGCATGTGCAGGTTGCTCAGTCTAGAAGGTTCTGTCTCCTCTGTTTCTTCCTGTCAGCTGGCACTTGGCAAATGCTGGGTAAACATCCTCCAGGGAATGAGTCTAAAATATTTCTTCTCCATCAGAATATAAGATGCACCCTTCCCCCAGCACTAAAGTAGCATCGTGAAAATATTTTCAAGGACTCGGTAAGCAGCATTAAAGACAAAATATAATTTCCCCAGGATTAGCTGGGTGCTCACGCAGGGAGGCTTTGGGATGCAGGCTTTCTTAATACCTGGCTGAGCCTTCTCAAAGCCCTGGTGATTTCTTTCACGCCTTCCTTTTCTGTAACTTCTCTCATTTGCTTTTCTAATTAAAAAAGTAATTCAGGTTCATTGTAGAAATGTCTGAAAATGCAGATAAGCAACACAAATAAAAACCCTCTGAAATCCTTCACCCGGAGCCCAGTGCAAGTCTCCTCCTGAGTCCTCCCTGGAGCACCGGGCTGTGCAGGTTGTGTGTGTGTGTGTGTACACGTGTGTGTGCGTGTGTGCCTGTGTGTGCGTCAGTACTCCAGCTTGAACTCAAGGCCTCGCACTTTCTCTTGGCTTTTGCACTCAAATCTGGTGCTCTACCATGTGAGCCACAGTTCCACTTCTGACTTTCCTTCCCAGCTTGGTTTTGAACCATGACCCTTAGATCTCAGCCTCCCAAGTAGCCAGCATTCCAGGTGTGGCTACCAGTGTCTGGTAGAATAATATGGTGGTGGTTGTTTTTTTTTTAAGGTGCATACTTATTTGTGCAACATTTGCAAACACGTCTATTATTTTTGGCCTCCGCTACTGTTAGACGATTTGCTGTTTGCTGGGTCGCCTGGCCGGGGGCCTCCTAAGGAACAGCGAGCCTTCTTCTCTCCTGGCCGGGGCCTCCCTGGCAGCTCGAGGTGCATCTCTGTCAGTGTGTCTGATGTGCATTTACTTAGTTTCTTGAACGACGGTGGGCTGTATATATACGGCTGATTTGTACATTTTTTCCCTAAGTATATTATTGTGGACTTTCCCCCCATCCTCCCCCCGCGACTTCTGTAGTTATAACTCAGAGTCTCGTGCTTGCTCAGCGTTCTAATTCACAGCGCGCACGCTAGCACCTGAGCCCTGCCTTCAGCCTGGCATTTTGCTGGTTCATTGGAGATGGGGCCTCCCAGACTTTTCTGCCTGGACTGGCCTTGAAAAATGCCCCTTCGGGTCTCAGCCTCCTGAGTGTCTGGATCCGATGACCCTTGCTCTCTGCTCTGCTGCCTGTGCGCTGGCGTTTTGTTTAACAGCCACCTCCTCTCTCGAGGTCAGGCCACGCAGCTCCAGATTGAACCAGCTCCTGACAGTCTCTGTCTCGGTGCAGGGTGCCGTGGGCGATGGCACCGTGCCCGTCCTCAGGGGGACTGCTAGGAACGGAGGCTGAGGAGCAGGGGCAGAGCGTCCCGCCACGGATGCACTTCCGGGACCCCCTCTTCAGCAGCCCCCCAACACTTGGTGTGTGTACCTACACACTGACAGTCACAGCCAGAGCACCTCAGGACCCCAAACTTGAATTTACTTACTGTATCTTCTTTGTCCCATAGTAGTTACGTAGGCAAGCAGAGACTGTTCACCCAGTCGCCGCCATCACGTTAAACTTGGGGCTCCAGAGCCTGGCCGGCCGCTCCCTGGCCTGGCCTGGCCTGGCCTTTTCCTTTGGGGAGGGGGGAAGGGGCTGTTTTACAGTACTAGGATTTGAATTCAGGACCTCATGCCTGCCGGGCTGGTACTGTACCCCTGAGCCACCCCCTGCCAGGCCTCTCGCTGTTTTGTTTTGTCTTTTTTTTTTTCATGTGTGTGTGTGTGTGCAGTGTGTGTACATGCGCGTGCACCAGTCCTGGGCTTGGGCACTGTCCCTGAGCTGTATGTGTGTGTGTGCACACGCGCATGCACCAGTCCTGGGGCTTGAACTCGGGGCTTGGGCACTGTTCCTGAGCTTTTGTGCCTCAGGCTGGCACTTGAGCTACAGCAACATTTCCTGCTATGTTTGGAAGTTCATTGGAGATAAGAGTCTCACGGACTTTCCTGCCTGGGCTGGCTCTGAACCCTCAGGTCTCAGCCTCCTGTGTAGCTGGGATTGCAGGCATGAGCCTCTGTGCCCCACTTCACGGTTATGTTTAAGACCACCCAGGCCCAGGCTTGGGCCGTGACCTGCCTACTTTGGGCTTCCTTGTGGTTGTTGGGAGGTGACAGGTGGGACTTTGCTGCCCTGGTGGCCTCCCGCCATGATCCTTCGTTCTCAGCCTCCCACGCAGCGAGGATCACAGGCCTGAGCTCAGGCTGCTTTTCGCTTCGTGTCTCCTAGCAACGTCTCCTGAGGTCCTGGGCTGTTTGTGTTTTCTACTCTTGCATGGAGACACTTGGAGACGGGCTGCCTCGGCGGCTGCGGGCTGGGGCTGAGTGGAGGTCTGAGAAGCGATTTCCTTTCTTCAGGCTCTCATTCACCCATTTCAAGCTGCTGCCTGCGGAAGCCTGGGCCCCTGGGGTGTCCTGGCCCCTCCTCCCCCTCCGGGTGTCTTGTTTGAGAATCTTCTAGACGGCTGCTGGCCAGTGGATCTCCTGTAGTGATGGAGACACTCTGACCCATCTGACAAGGCAGTGGTCACCGGCTGCATGTTGCTGGTGCACCAAAGAACTGAATTTTGTACTTAATTGTTTAAAAAAATTCAAATTCAGAACCAGGCACTGATGGCTCATGTCTGTGATCCTAGCTATTCAGGAGACTGAGATCTGAGGATTGAGGTTCAAAGCCAGCCCCGGCAAACGAATCCTGGAGACTCTTACATTTAATTAACCAGCAAAAAGCAGGAAGTGGAGGTGTAATGCAAGAGTGCCAGCCTCGAGTGTAAAAGCCAACGAAGACCTCTGTCCCCCGGTTCAATTCCCAGTACTGGCACAAAAATAAAAAAGGTGTGGAAGTCCAGGGCGCATGCCCAGAGTACACTGTGTGCATCTCAACAGAACAGAATGCATTGGTTTGACAAAAACAGGCAGCCCAAGAGGAGGGGTGCTGTGGGCCCCCATGCACAGACCCAGGTGGCAGAAAGGGTCTCAGGTGGCGGCGTGACCGGCCGCCACCCTGCCTGACCCCTGTGAGCACATGCGTCACCGAGTGTGCTCTGCAGTTTGCAGATGGCGTCTACCTGGTCCTGCTCATGGGGCTGCTGGAAGATTACTTTGTCCCCCTGCACAACTTCTACCTGACTCCGGACAGCTTCGACCAGAAGGTGCGTGTGGGTTCTCTGTCCTGGGAGCCGCCCGGGGCTCGCGGCCAGGGGCCAGGCTGACTGTGTCTGCCGGTGTGCGACTTTCCTCAGAAAGTAAAACTAGCACAGCGGGACTGCAACTCTGTCACTCAGTGGGAAGGAAAAACCCACCAGCAGCCTGGTGCCTCACACCGGTAATCCCAGCAACTCAGGAGGCTGAGATCGGAGGATCTCTGTCCAAGCAAGAAAGTCTGTGAGATTATCTCCAGTTAGCCAGTGAAAAGCCGGACATGGGGCTGTGGCTCAAGAGCACCAGCCTGGAGTGAGAAAGCTAAGAGACAGTGTCCAGACCCTCAGTGTGAGCACTAGTACTGGTGGGGGGGGGAAGGAGGGGGGAGGGAGGGAGGGAGGGAGGGAGGGAGGGAGGGAAGGAAGGAAGGAAGGAAGGAGGGAAGGAAGGAAGGAAAGAAGGCCATAGCAGTCTAAGTATATCACATTTTGCTTTGCCTTCTCTTGAGGTCTTTTCTGTGGACCTACGTTTTTTACAGGTGTGTGTGCGTGTGTGAGTGTGAGAAAGAGAGAGAGAGATACAGACAGGCAGACAGAGGCTGGTCAGGATGTCTAGCTGGGATTCGCAGCCTTTGCTCAGTTTCCCCTGGTGCCTGGCGGCGGTGGGGCCAGGCGCTGCTCCCAGAGCCCGCTGCGCCCCGCAGAGACAAGCGTGCTTGCGGGGAGAGTGGGCGCCCTCCGAGCGTCCCGGGACGAGGCCTCCCGCTGGGCTCTCCGTCTGTGCCCTGAGGCCCATGCCTGCCTGGGGACAAGGCCTCCCGCTGGGCTCTCCGTCTGTGCCCTGAGGCCCATGCCTGCCTGGGGACGAGGCCTCCCGCTGGGCTCTCCGTCTGTGCCCTGAGGCCCATGCCTGCCTGGGGACGAGGCCTCCCGCTGGGCTCTCCGTCTGTGCCCTGAGGCCCATGCCTGCCTGGGGACGAGGCCTCCCGCTGGGCTCTCCGTCTGTGCTGAGGCCCACGCCTCGTGTGTTGTGGCGGCGCTGGCACCTGGTCCCGTGGGCACCCACCCCCTGCCTTCAGTCATCCCAGAGCCTGGCCCGCTGTGCCCCGCCCTGGCTGTCTCTGGGACTCACCTGAAGGAAGCAGCGGGGTGGGGCAGGCCCTCACCGCCCTCCTCCCCGCAGGTCCACAACGTGGCGTTCGCCTTCGAGCTGATGCTGGACGGAGGACTCAAGAAGCCCAAGGCTCGCCCTGAAGGTAAGGCCCCGCCCCCGGCCAGTGTACAGAGACTAAAGCCAGGTGCTGCACAGGGTTGGTCAGCTGGCGCCCTGTTTGTGTCACCGGGCGACCCCAGCTCACGGACAGAGCTCGCCAACCTCAGCTCTTCCCTCTCCCCATTTCTAGCACCTAAGGAGCTCATCCGTGGAGCTGATGTGCCCATTCTTTTTGTTTTTGAGATGGGGTCTTAATATGTTACTCAAGCTGGCCTTGAACTCTGCACCCAGGGGACCTTCCTGCCACAGACTCTAGAGTTGTGAGAACGGCCACGCTTGGCCTCCCTGCTGGTGTTTTTTTTTTTCTTAATCACTTGACCTTTAGGACGAGGCCTGTGGCAGCCCTCAGCCCCCCACGCCCCCCCCTCAGGGCAGGATGCCTGTCCTGCCTGTGTGAGGCCAGGTTCCTGGGTCTCAGGATGGAGTCCTGGCCTGGCCTGGGCATGGGCCTGGGCCCGGGCCTGAGCCTGGACCTGGGCATGGATAGCAGGTTCCGGGTGGTGTGCTGGTGTTTTGTTTCCCAACAAAGGCACTCAAAGCCTTTCGAATTTAGCTCTGGGAAGCTGACAGGTGTCTGTGCCAGTGAACTGCTGCCTGGCACTGGTGCATTGCGTGTGCACACCCCTGCTGCACACAGGGTGGGATGTGTGCACACACCTGCTGCACACAGGGTGGGATGTGTGTGCACACCTGCTGCACACAGGGTGGGATGTGTGTGCACACCTGCTGCACACAGGGTGGGATGCATGTGCACACCTGCTGCACACAGGGTGAGATGCATGTGCACACCTGCTGCACACAGGGTGGGATGTGTGTACACCTGCTGCACACGGGGTGGGATGTGTGCACACCTGCTGCACACAAGGTGGGATGTGTGTGCACACTTGCTGCACACAGGGTGGGATGTGTGTGCACACCTACTGCACACGGGGTGGGATGTGTGTGCACACCTGCTGCACACGGGGTGGGATGTGTGTGCACACCTGCTGCACACAGGGTGGGATGTGTGCACACCTGCTGCACACGGGGTGGGATGTGTGCACACACCTGCTGCACACGGGGTGGGATGTGTGTGCACACCTGCTGCACACGGGGTGGGATGCGTGTGCACACCTGCTGCACACAGGGTGGGATGTGTGCACATCTGCTGCACACAGGGTGGGATGTGTGCACACACCTGCTGCACACGGGGTGGGATGTGTGCACACACCTGCTGCACACGGGGTGGGATGTGTGTGCACACCTGCTGCACACGGGGTGGGATGTGTGTGCACACCTGCTGCACACAGGGTGGGATGCATGTGCACACCTGCTGCACACAGGGTGGGATGTGTGCACACCTGCTGCACACAGGGTGGGATGTGTGCACACCTGCTGCACACAGGGTGAGATGTGTGTACACCTGCTGCACACAGGGTGGGATGTGTACACACCTGCTGCACACAGGGTGGGATGTGTGCACACCTGCTGCACACAGGGTGGGATGCGTGTGCACACCTGCTGCACACAGGGTGGGATGCGTGTGCACACCTGCTGCACACATGGTGGGATGTGTGTGCACACCTGCTGCACACAGGGTGGGATGTGTGCACACCTGCTGCACACAGGGTGAGATGTGTGTACACCTGCTGCACACGGGGTGGGATGTGTGTGCACACCTGCTGCACACAGGGTGGGATGTGTGTGCACACTTGCTGCACACAGGGTGGGATGTGTGTGCACACCTGCTGTACACAGGGTGGGATGTGTACACACCTGCTGCACACAGGGTGGGATGTGTGCACACCTGCTGCACACAGGGTGAGATGTGTGCACACCTGCTGCACACAGGGTGGGATGTGTGTGCACACTTGCTGCACACAGGGTGGGATGTGTGTGCACACCTGCTGTACACAGGGTGGGATGTGTACACACCTGCTGCACACAGGGTGGGATGTGTGTGCACACCTGCTGCACACGGGGTGGGATGTGTGTGCACACCTGCTGTACACAGGGTGAGATGTGTACACACCTGCTGCACACAGGGTGAGATGCATGTGCACACCTGCTGCACACAGGGTGAGATGTGTGTACACCTGCTGCACACAGGGTGGGATGTGTGCACACCTGCTGCACACAGGGTGGGATGTGTGCACACCTGCTGCACACAGGGTGGGATGTGTGTACACACCTGCTGCACACGGGGTGGGATGTGTGTGCACACCTGCTGCACACGGGGTGGGATGTGTGCACACCTGCTGTACACGGGGTGGGATGTGTGTGCACACCTGCTGTACACGGGGTGGGATGTGTGTGCACATGCTGCACACGGGGTGGGATGTGTGCACATCTGCTGCACAAGGGGTGGGATGTGTGTGCACATCTGCTGCACACAGGGTGGGATGTGTGCACACCTGCTGCACACGGGGTGGGATGTGTGTGCACACCTGCTGCACACGGGGTGGGATGTGTGTGCACACCTGCTGCACACAGGGTGGGATGTGTGCACATCTGCTGCACACGGGGTGGGATGTGTGCACACCTGCTGTACACGGGGTGGGATGTGTACACACCTGCTGCACACGGGGTGGGATGTGTGTGCACACCTGCTGCACACGGGGTGGGATGTGTGTACACACCTGCTGCACACGGGGTGGGATGCGTGTACACCTGCTGCACACGGGGTGGGATGCGTGTACACCTGCTGTACACAGGGTGGGATGCGTGTACACCTGCTGCACACAGGGTGGGATGTGTGCACACCTGCTGTACACGGGGTGGGATGTGTGTGCACACCTGCTGCACACAGGGTGGGATGTGTGTACACCTGCTGCACACGGGGTGGGATGTGTGTACACACCTGCTGCACACAGGGTGAGATGCGTGTGCACACCTGATGTACACAGGGTGGGATGTGTGCACACCTGCTGCACACAGGGTGGGATGTGTGTATACCTGCTGCACACGGGGTGGGATGTGTGTACACACCTGCTGCACACAGGGTGAGATGCATGTGCACACCTGCTGTACACAGGGTGGGATGTGTGCACACCTGCTGCACACAGGGTGGGATGTGTGCACACACCTGCTGCACACAGGGTGGGATGTGTGCACACCTGCTGCACACGGGGTGGGATGTGTGTACACACCTGCTGCACACGGGGTGGGATGTGTGTGCACACCTGCTGCACACGGGGTGGGATGTGTGTGCACACCTGCTGCACACGGGTTGGGATGCGTGTGCACACCTGCTGCACACGGGCTGGGATGTGTGTACACCTGCTGCACACAGGGTGGGATGTGTATACACACCTGCTGCACACAGGGTGTGATACGTGTGCACACACCTGCTGTACACAGGGTGAGATGCGTGTGCACAGCTGCTGCACACAGGGTGGATGTGGCCAGGGCAGCTCTGTGGGGTGGTGGCGGCGGCCAGGCTCCGCTGGTCCAGGCCCTGGGCGTCCGCCACACTGTTTCCTGTGTCCGTGTCCTCTGCAGATGTGGTGAACCTGGACCTCAAGTCCACCCTGAGGGTTCTTTACAACCTGTTCACCAAGTACAAGGACATGGAGTGACCAGCAGCGGAGCCGGCATCGGGAGCTGTCCACAGCGCCGGCCCTCCCGACAGCCACGTGTGAGCCACGCCAGAGCCATGAGAGACCCAGGCACCTTGGCCTCCACCGCCTCGTGCCCGCCCCTGGGCCCGCCCCTGGCCCCGCCCCTTCCTGTCCCACGGGACGGCCCCTGTGCCCACCCCTGGGCCCGCCCCTTCCTGTCCCACGGGATGGCCCCTGTGCCCACCCCTGGGCCCCGCCCCTTCCTGTCCCACGGGACGGCCCCTGTGCCCGCCCCTGGGCCCACCCTGGGCCCGCCCCTTCCTGTCCCACGGGAGGGGGCCATCCTCAGCCTCTGGCTTCTGTGACAGCGCTCGGGCAAGGCCCTTGAAAACGCAGTATTTTATCAGCTACCGCACGTTGGAGGCCTGGCTCCGGCTCCTTCCAGAAGATGCTGAGCGGCTGACAGCCGAGCGGCCACTGCGCGGTGTCACGGGCCAGCCTGTGGTGCACCGCTGTGCCCAGGGACTCGGCGCTTCCTCTTCTCTGGAATTTTCCAGGCTGGGCTCTCCTTGGAAGTGGAGCATTTTCAGCAAAAGGGTTTTACAGATTAAACAGTTTTATCTCAAGTCCTAGAGGTTTCAGTGTGACACAAGTATGGTCGTGAGTGTGTGTGTGTGTGCACGCGTGTGTGCTCACACGCAGGCACTGCTATGGGGGCTCAAACTCGGGGCCTGAGTGTTGCTCCTGAGCTTTTTTGCTCAAGGCTAGTGTTCTAACACTTGAACTGCAGCACCACGTCTGGTTTTCTGGAGATACAAGTCTCACAGACTTTGCTGCCTGGGCTGGCTTTGAATTGTGATCCTCAGATCTCAGCCTCCTGAGCAGCTGGGGCTGCCGGCGGAGCCTCCTCAGGACCCAGGGTGGGCAGGCTCCACAGCCCACAGAAGGACATCACAGGGCTGGGGGGCTGGAGGGGTGGTGGGATCCGCCTCTGAATGTCCCAATCAGGGACCCTCCTGCCGCAGAGACGGCTTCGGAACTTGTGGGTTCAAGAGGCTTTGAGAGGACCACCACCGCCAGTGCGTGAGCTTCACCGGAGGGCTGGCCTCTCCCGCGGGGCCTCTTGCTCGGCCTGTTCCTGCTGTCCTGTCCTTGGTGCGTGCCAGCGTCTGGCCTCAGGACCCCGGTCATGCTGGTGTGGACCCCACCGCCCGCTGGGCCTCATCTGTACGCACAGACGCCCCGAGTGCCGGGCTTGGCCTGTCACGGACATGGTGCATCGCCCCAGAGCCCGCGTCTGCGCTCCTGGGAGCGTCCCCGGCATCAGCTGTGTCTGCCGGGTCTTGGGACCCGCCTGGTGCGGCATGCCCCCCTGCGCCCCATCTTCCACCAGCCGGGAGGAGGGGCCCTGCGCGGTCGCTCCTGCTTCAGCTCTGAGCCTGGGCGGCCGCAGCAGGAAGGGCCATGCTGTACCCCTCCGCCACGCCGCGTGGCTGTGTCACCGGGTCGGGCACGGGCCGGGTGTGGTCTGGGTGCAGGAAGCGGTGATGTTGGACAGCCGAGTCCTCACAGGCCACAGCTAGGAGGCTTCTCACCCACAGCCGTGCGCCGCCGGCTCTCGGGACGCCTGGCTCAGGCCTCGGTCTGTCCTGGGGGACACGGGCCGGGCAAAGCGGGAGTCAGGATTTACGGGGCGCCCGGGGCTGTGAGGTGGGCGGGCAGCTCTGGGCAGCCAGGCCTGGACGCTTCTCTTGCAGCCAGCCAGGGTCCAGTTTCCTGGCTCTGAGCCTCCCGGGTGTCCCCCAAACTGAGCATTCTGGGCACACGCCTGAGATGCACATGCCTCTTAGCTGCTAATTCAAGAAAGTGCTGGAAACTTCTTTCTGCTTGGTGGTCACATTTTCTTGATTTTCTTTTTTGGGAGGGGTCTGGGCCTCAAGAGCGCATTCCTGGGAGGTCGTTTGTGCATGGCCAGCGAGGGGCTGAGGACAGGGGGTCTGTGGGGCTGTCTGGGGGTGCCCATGCCCTGCCCTGTGTGGGGGCCTCAGCCCGGCCTCCCTCCCCCCCGCCACCCACGGCCACACCACCCACGGCCACACCACCTCCTTCCCAGGTGACATTGTGCCCCCCCCCCGCCGTGTCCTGACCGACGTGACCACCTGGATGTGTTCCCCTCCCTTCATGTGCCAGTGTATTACCACCTTTTAAACTGCTCTGAGCAGCATTTACTTCTTGGTGTTACATATAAAGCCACAAATAGAAAGCTGACCGCAGGAGGTAGAGTTCGCCACACCCACTGAACCCAGTACCCAGCACCCAGCACCCAGTACCCACCCTGTACCCAGCACCCTGTACCCAGCACCCTGTACCCAGTACCCAGCACCCTGTACCAAGCACCCAGTACTGCTTGCGCCTAAGATGGCTGTGGAGGCCATATGGCAAGCCGCAGATGTGTACCTATAAAGCTCTGGAGTGCACAGGCAGCCTCTGTGTGTGTGTGTGTGTGTGTGTGTGTGTGCGCGCGCGCACACGCGTGTCTGCCTGAGTGCTGTCCCTCAGCATTTTTACTCAAGGCTGGCACGTTACCATTTGAGTTACAGCTCCACTTCCATTTTTGCTGGCTAACTGGAGACAAGAGTCTCATGGCTTTCCTGCCAGGGCTGGCTTTGAACTGTGATCCTCAGATCCCAGGCTCCTGAGGAGCTGGGGTTACACTGTGGCACCTGGCTGAGCTGTGTCTTTCACGGCCATGAGTCTTCGTGAGTTTGGTGGTGGTGTTTGTGCTGGCTCTGTGCCAGGGCTGCGGGTTCACACACGCCAGCCTGCGTGGGCATGCTGACCCAGAGTGGACGGTGACTCGGCGAGGCTGGTCCCCTTGTCTGTCCTGGAAGGAGCAGACGGTCCTGAGCTCAGCCAGCAGGGGTGGTCTAGCATTGATTCTCCTGCCTGGACAAAGGTCCTGGGGTACATCCAACGCCGCGGTTTCCTCTATAGAACGGTTCTAAAATTGTAGCTGGCCGCAGGATGGCTGGCCTGGGCAAGGACTGGACGAACACTATTTACAAAGGCGAATGAACATTCTAAGCTGGCTGGAAAGAAAGCAGCAGGCTTTGGACAAAACGTGTCTGGAGCCAGCTGTCTGCAAGTGTGGGGGCTGGCGGCAGCTCGCGCCAACCGTCCAGCTCAGGACTGGGAGGGGCCGAGCTGTCCCTGCTGGGCTCTCCAGCGGTCAGCCGCCCCTAGCCAGCCTGTCCCCTGGGGAGCACGAGGCCACGCCTGTTTTGTCACCCTCTGGGATGGTGAGCGGCTGGTGGAGCCTGGTATGCTGTTCAGGGCCCCGTAACAGGACAGAGAATCCTCTGTCCTGAATGTCTCCCTCTGTGGTTACAATGCCCGCCGTGGGGCCTGCCCCACCTTTATCAGGGCAGCCTGATCTAATACACATCAGAGAGGACATGGAGTCCTCTCAGTGCTGGTTTTTGGAGCTAGCGATGACGCACGGCCTTCCGTGCAGCCAGTTCGGCCTGCGTTCCGTGGTCAGGGACAGCGCTCGGCTGACCCCTGCAGCCCCTACTCCTCCGGTCACATGGGTCAAATTCAGTGACAGAGGCCAGCACAGGTGTTGATCCTGGAAGGGGGGGGGATGGCGGCGAGACCCAGGGAAGGGGCAGCTCCCTGGGGCACTGCCACGGGTGGGGGGGCGAGAATGGGGCCCACCCCGTGCCGTGACTGCTGCCACCTCCATGCAGGCCTCAGGCTGGCCTGGGCACGACTGAGCGGCTCTTCCTGTGCAGCCGCTCCGTGTGAATCCTAGGACTCTGGGCTCCACTGTCCACAGCCCGATGGCCCCGCACGACCTTGCGGTGTACTTACCACCAGCCCCCGCCAGCCAGTCCGTCTGTCCGTCTGTCCATCGGGGCCTGGAGTTGCTCTTGGATCTGGGCTTGTGCTGGCCAAGGGGACAATTCGAGGAGGGATGCCAATAGAGATTTGGAGAGTGCTGTGCGTGCCCAGACTGCCGCGGCAGAGCCGGACCAGCCTGCCAGGGAGCCCGCCAACGCTGCCCGCCGCTCTCCAGCTTGGAGTGAGGCCATTGTAGATAACCAGATGTCAGCCGGCCAGCCCAAACTGCCCGTCTGTCCCAGAGTGCCTGGCCCAGCCATATGTCCAGGAGGACTGTTGATTCGAGCTGTTCGATTCTGGGCTGTTTTGTTACGCAGTGGTGACTAACTGATGTACCCGCCCTGCCTTGAGACATGGAGCTCGACCCCTCTGGTGTCAAGTCCTGGGCGGTCCAGGAAGGAGGAGGGCGGGTCCATGATGGTGAGCGGTGGAAGACCACCACGATGGCCGAAGTGGCAGACAACCTGCTGATGGCCCAGTGCAGAATACCGCCCCATCCCGGTCCCCCCCCTCCCCCCCCTCCTGTCTCTAGCATAGCAGGGGAGGATGGGGAGGGCCTGGCCTGGGGGAGGGGAGGAGGGAGAAGAGTGGGAAATGTCAGAGGCCAGCCACCGTCCTCCAGGAGTTGGCAGGGAGGAGGCGGGGCCTCCAGAGGAAGTGGGCCCCTCCAGAGGAAGTGAGGGCGGGGCCGCTGCCCAGCGTGCGGGACAGGAACCTGGCTCAAGGGTCGTCTGCCAGCGCCTGGGCCCTGGTACGGAGGGAGCTGCAGGTGAGTCCTTTGGGCACCCTGGCCCTGAGCTGCTGGAACCTTCTTCCTGCCCACAGGCGAGGTGGGGGGCCAGAGAAACCCCATCTCGGCAGGTGGCTGGTGAGGGGAGCCCCCAGAGGGCAGCCCCAAGTCCCACCACTGGCTCGGACCCTGCGCACATTGCCCGCGCCGCCCGGCCCGGAAGGCCCCTCCCCGCCCAGAGGTGCAGCCTGGCGGCCCCTGTCACCCCGGGGCAGCCTGCCCACGGCCTGCTCCTTCCCAGCCTTCTCTAGAGGAGCCCGCCCAGGCCAAGCGTCTGGCACCAGAGCTGCGTCCCATCTGCCCCTCCAGCCCGCCCTGGCAGGACCAGAGAGGGGAGGATTTCTGCCCAGCGTCACGCAGCCTCTCTGAGGGGAGCCGGCAGTGGTGGCCAGGCCGAGGAGGCCTCCTCTCCCCTGCCAGCTGGGAAGCGGGGCCCAGCGTCACGCAGCCTCTCTGAGGGGAGCCGGCAGCGGTGGCCAGGCCGGGGAGGCCTCCTCTCCCCTGCCAGCTGGGAAGCGGGGCCCAGGGCCATGCCTGTCTCTGTGTCTCCCCCAGCATGCGGTTTCCAGGGCCCTGCAAATGCTCTTCTCCCCCCAGCTCTGGGTTTGCTCCCCATCTCGTAGCTGAGCTGAGAAGGCCAGGAAGGCCCTGGGGTGGGGAGAGGGAGGGTGGCAAAAGCGGAAGTTGGGCACTGGGGAAGCAGCTGCTGCCCTGGGGGGGGCGAGCCACTTCATACCTTGGGGTCCCCAAAGATGCCAGCGTACCCCCCGAGGCTCACCTCCACACAGGGGGGTGGGGCAGAGGGCCGTTCCCCGGGCCGAGCTGTGCTGGGAGCCTGGAGCTTCGAACTCCGTCCCCGGAGCTGGGGTGGGGCCCTGGGCGGGGTGGGGTGGGGGCTGCGGGAGCACCCCCGGCCCGAGGGCGCTGGTCCACGCTCGCCAGGCTGGCTCCACCGCCTCCTCCCTGGGGTCCTGTCCCGGCCCAGCGCCTCCCGAGTGACGCCCGCTGTCCCGGCAGCCTCTACCACCCGACGGAAGATGGAACCCGAGCCGCTCTACAACCTGCTCCAGCTCCCGAAGGACGTGCCTGGGGCTGTGGAGGAGGAGATCCCACAGGGTGCGGCGGGGGCTGGGGTCAGGGCTGGGGGTCAGGGCTGGGGTTGGTGATGGGGTCAGAGGTGGGAGTTGGAGCTGGGGGTCGGGGCTGGGGGTGGGGGCTGGGGTCGGGGCTGGGGGTGGGGGCTGGGGTCGGAGCTGGGGTCAGGGCTGGGGTCGGGGCTGGGGTCAGAGCTGGGGGTCAGAGCTGGGGTCGGAGCTGGGGGTTGGGGCTGGGGTTGGTGATGGGGTCAGAGGTGGGAGTTGGAGCTGGGGGTCAGAGCTGGGGTCAGGGCTGGGGTCAGGGCTGGGGTCAGAGCTGGGGGTCAGAGCTGGGGTCGGGGCTGGGGGTTGGGGCTGGGGTCAGTGCTGGGGGTCGGAGCTGGGGTTGGGGCTGGGTGTCTGTGTCTGTGTCAGGCCAGGCCAGGCCCAGGGCAGAAGCTGTCACTGAAGTCTGCTTCTGCTTGCATGGGTGGGCTAGGTCCTGGCCTGCACCCCCGCCCCGAGCTGTCCCCCACGGCCCGGCCCTCATGTCCCTCACGTCCCCACACCCCGTCCCTCACGTCCCCCACACCCCGTCCCTCACGTCCCGTCCCTCATGTCCCCCACGCCCCCCACACCCCGTCCCTCACACCCCGTCCCTCACGCCCCCACACCCCGTCCCTCACGCCCCCCACACCCCGTCCCTCACGCCCCGTCCCTCACGTCCCCACACCCCGTCCCTCACGCCCCGTCCCTCACGTCCCCCACACCCCGTCCCTCACGTCCCCACACCCCGTCCCTCACGTCCCCACACCCCGTCCCTCACACCCCGTCCCTCACGTCCCCACACCCCGTCCCTCACACCCCGTCCCTCACGTCCCCCACACCCCGTCCCTCACGTCCCCCACACCCCGTCCCTCACGTCCCCCACACCCCGTCCCTCACGTCCCCACACCCCGTCCCTCACACCCCGTCCCTCACGTCCCCCACACCCCGTCCCTCACGTCCCCCACACCCCGTCCCTCACGTCCCCCACACCCCGTCCCTCACGTCCCCCACACCCCGTCCCTCACGCCCCCACACCCCGTCCCTCACGTCCCTCACGCCCCGTCCCTCACGTCCCTCACGCCCCGTCCCTCACGCCCCCCACACCCCGTCCCCCACACCCCGTCCCTCACGTCCCCACACCCCGTCCCTCACGTCCCCCACACCCCGTCCCTCACGTCCCCCACACCCCGTCCCTCACGTCCCCCACGCCCCGTCCCTCACGCCCCCCACACCCCGTCCCCCACACCCCGTCCCTCACGTCCCCCACACCCCATCCCTCACGTCCCCCACATCCCGTCCCTCACACCCCGTCCCTCACACCCCCCACACCCCGTCCCCCACACCCCGTCCCTCACGCCCCCCACGCCCCGTCCCCCACACCCCGTCCCTCACGCCCCCCACACCCCGTCCCCCACACCCCGTCCCTCACGCCCCCACGCCCCGTCCCCCACACCCCGTCCCTCACGTCCCTCACACCCCGTCCCTCACACCCCCCACACCCCGTCCCTCACACCCCCCACACCCCGTCCCCCACGCCCCGTCCCTCACGTCCCTCACGCCCCGTCCCTCACGCCCCCCACACCCCGTCCCTCACGTCCCCACACCCCGTCCCCCACACCCCGTCCCTCACACCCCGTCCCTCACACCCCCCACACCCCGTCCCCCACACCCCGTCCCTCACGCCCCCCACACCCCGTCCCCCACACCCCGTCCCCCACACCCCGTCCCTCACACCCCCCACACCCCGTCCCCCACACCCCGTCCCTCACGCCCCCACACCCCGTCCCCCACACCCCGTCCCTCACACCCCGTCCCTCACACCCCCCACACCCCGTCCCCCACACCCCGTCCCCCACACCCCGTCCCTCACGCCCCCCACACCCCGTCCCCCACACCCCGTCCCTCACACCCCGTCCCCCACACCCCGTCCCTCACACCCCGTCCCTCACGCCCCTCACGCCCCGTCCCTCACGCCCCGTCCCTCACACCCCCCACACCCCGTCCCTCACGTCCCCCACACCCCGTCCCTCACGTCCCCCACACCCCGTCCCTCACGCCCCGTCCCTCACGCCCCCCACACCCCGTCCCTCACACCCCGTCCCTCACGCCCCGTCCCTCACACCCTGTCCCTCACGTCCCCCACACCCCGTCCCTCACACCCCGTCCCTCACACCCCCCACCCCCCATCCCCCACACCCCGTCCCTCACGTCCCCCACACCCTGTCCCTCACGCCCCCCACACCCCGTCCCTCACGCCCCCCACGCCCCGTCCCCCACACCCCGTCCCTCACACCCCCCACGCCCCGTCCCTCACACCCCATCCCTCACGTCCCCCGCGCTGTCCCCCACACCCCGTCCCTCACAGCCCTGTACGGGCGGCACTGCTGTGGGTACTGATTGCCACAGCAGGACCCCTGTGGGCCTTCTCTGTGCAGTGCTGAACTGAGTACTGCTCTCCCACAGTACCTCATCTGTTCTGAACTGAGTACTGCTCTCCCACAGTACCTCATCTGTTCTGAACTGAGTACTGCTCTCCCACAGTACCTCATCTGTTCTGAACTAAGTACTGCTCTCCCACAGTACCTCATCTGTTCTGAACTGAGTACTGCTCTCCCACAGTACCTCATTTGTTCTGAACTGAGTACTGCTCTCCCACAGTACCTCATCTGTTCTGAACTGAGTACTGCTCTACCACAGTACCTCATCTGTTCTGAACTGAGTACTGCTCTCCCACAGTACCTCATTTGTTCTGAACTGAGTACTGCTCTCCCACAGTACCTCATTTGTTCTTGGGGGGTGTCACCACCTCCTTTCCACATAAGAGGAAACTGAGGCACAGAAGCAGCCACCGCAGTCCCTGGCAGCATGTTGTGAGCTCATCAGGGTTCATGCAACCATTAGAGCAGAAATCCTTCCCAGAAAGGAAGGGGCAAGGGCGGGAGGGCTTCCTGGAGACCTGGAGCTCAGCTTTGGCGGCCAGGCTGTGGCGTCTGCCCGGGGCACCACACTTTGGTGCCCAGAGGCCCCCGGAGGCCCCGGGCCGGCTTCTCCCGGGCCTCCCGCTGGCCTCTTGCTGTGCCAGTCCAGGTAGGTTAGGTGGGTCCTTCACCATTGGAAAAACGTTCAATTGTTGTTTTATAGCTCATTTCTCCAATTCTGAAAAACCAGAGCTAGAGCCGAGATGATTAAGAGAGGCAATCTGCCCCAGGAAGTGGGGAAGCTAACATGTCCATCCACCCTTCTGTCCACCCATCTGTCCACCCTCCCACCCACTCATCCATGCATCGCCTACATCATTTTCCATCCATCCATCCATTCATCTATCCACACATGTATCATCTGTCCATCATCTTTCCATTCATCTATCTATCTCTCCATCCATCATCTATCTATCCATCCATCATCCATCTATCTATCCATCCACCATCTATCTATCCGTCCATCATCTATCTATCTATCCATCCATCATCTATCTATCTATCTATCTATCTATCAATCTATCTATCCATCCATCATCTATCTATCTATCTATCCATCCATCATCTATCTATCTATCTATCTATCAATCTATCTATCCATCCATCATCTATCTATCTATCTATCTATCTATCTATCCATCCATCATCTATCTATCTATCCATCCATCATCTATCTATCTATCTATCTATCCATCCATCCATCCATCATCTATCTATCTATCTATCTATCTATCTATCCATCCATCATCTATCTATCCATCCATCATCTTTCCATCCATACATAACTTTTCCATCTGTCTGTCTATACATACATCCCCTATCGTCTTTCCATCCATCCATCCATCTCTCCATCCACTCATCCATCCATCATCCATGTATCATCTGTCCATCATCCATCCATCATCTTGCCACTTACCATCTAGCTGTACATATATATACATATATATAATCCATCTACATCTTCCCACCCATCTATCCATCATCCCTCCATTCCTCCACCCATTCCTCCACCCGTTCGCCATCCGTCTGTCTCTCCTGTGGCCCTGGTCTGTGGGTGACCTGCAGGGAGAAGGCTACCGAGTGCCCATGTCATGTCTCCCTCTGCCTCCAGGAGAAAAGAAGAAGTACCTGCCACCCAATTCGCGGAGGGACCGGAAGTTTGAAGAGCTGCAGAAGGTACACCGCCTTCCGCCCAGGCCCCTGAACTCCTCCTTCCCCCGAGGGGAGGCAGCCTCCGGCTGGGCAGGCGGGGGCAGCAGCCCACCCCCCGGCCTTGGCCCAGACGGGCAGGCCGCGGACCCAGGCCCCAGGAGACGCGTTGAGTGGCTGTGTGGTGAACACGGGCTGGGCGCTGACCGCCACCTTCGTGTGCAATGCCCACAAGCTCCCTGGCAGTGGAGAGACACCTGCCATCCCACGGGAGAGGCCGTCTGACCGTGTGGACCCTGCGGCCAGGCAGCGCTGGGCGGGGCGGGGAGGGCAGGCTGGCCATCAGGCCTAAGCCCTGCTTGGCTGCACTCCTGGCTCTCTCCTTGGCCGTGGGTCTGTCTGTGGCCTCAGGGTCAACTGGCATGGCGGGTTTGGGCCCCTGCTGCTCTCTGTCCTGTACCTCCAGTCTGAGGTCTGTTTCCCCCTCCAGGGAGGCCTCCTGGCCTGCACCCTGTCCCAAACCCACAGCTCTAGGGCTCCCTGCTACATTCTCTCCCGACCCTCTCCTTCCTGTGGCCCAGTCCCATGCGAGGTCCTGGGCACAGACAAGGACTCCTGGACCCGTCCTGGGCCTCCACGGCCCCCCTGGTCAGATTCCCCTGACATGGATCCTGGGAGGCCGTCTTGGATGATGGAAGTTTCTGGGTGTGTGTGTGTCACCCGCCAGCGTAGTGCGGACGTCGCCAGCCACATCCTCCCGGCAGAGCCGGGGCTGGGGCCACGGCACCCATTGCAGCAGCTCGGTCTGCTCCCCACCTGCCCCTACACCAACCACAGGTCCCTTGCGCCCGTCTCAAGCCTAGCCAGACACAGCGGGTCTGTATTCCCCCCTCTCTTTGAGGCACCTGCTGTCCACATTTTGCCACCACTCTGTTCTACGGCCGCCTACCCCATGTGGAGCATTTGTGACAGCAGTGCCGATTGCTGAGCACCAAACCCTTACGCACCCCAATGCCAACCCCACCATGCCTGGTGTGGTGCCGGGACCCAGGGCTCTGTGGAAGCCGGGAAGTCAGGGAGGGCTTCCTGCAGGAGGTGGCCTGCGACTGGGCTTGTGAAAGAGTCAGTGGGTGGAGGCGGCACTTGGGCTGAGGTGGACGCAGGGCCGGTGCCCCCAGCTGGGTCAGCTGTCCCCTGGTGGCCGCAGGTGCTGACCGAGTGGCTCAACATGACCCTGCTCCCAGAGCACATCGTGGTGCGAAGCCTGGAGGAGGACATGTTCGACGGGCTGGTCCTGCACCACCTGTTCCGTGAGTGCTGAACCCCCGTGCACAATTCCAGGCCCAGCCAGGCTCCCGCCACCATCCCCGGGGAAGAGGTGGGCAAGCGGGATGTGTGTGTGTGTGTGTGTGCCGTGTGTGTATATATGTGTCTGTGTGTCTGTGTGTAGGTGTGTAGGTGTGTATGTGTGTGTATGTATGTGTATGTGTGTAGGTGTGTATGTGTGTGTATGTGTGTATGCGTGCATGTGTGTATGTGTGTATCTGTGTGTCTCTATGTGTGTATGTGTGTAGGTGTGTATGTGTGTGTGTAGGGGTGTGTGTATGTGTATGTGTGTGTAGGTGTGTATCTGTGTGTCTGTGTGTATGTGTGTCTGTGTGTATGTGTGTAGGTGTGTATGTGTGTAGGTGTGTATGTGTGTATCTGTGTGTCTGTGTGTGTGTAGGTGTGTGTATGTGTGTATGCGTGCATGTGTGTATGTGTGTATCTGTGTGTATGTGTGTATATGTGTGTATGTGTGTGTGTATATGTGTGTCTGTGTGTGTCTGTGTGTATCTGTGTCTGTGTGTCTGTGTGTGTGTCTGTGTATGTGTGCGTGTGTGTATATGTGTGTATGTGTGTGTAGGTGTGTATGTGTGTATCTGTGTGTCTGTGTGTATGTGTGTAGGTGTGTATGTGTGTAGGTGTATATGTGTGTAGGTGTGTATGTGTGTAGGTGTGTATGTGTGCATGTGTGTGTATGTGTGTATCTGTGTGTCTGTGTCTGTGTGTGTCTGTGTGTATGTGTGTATGTGTGCATGTGGTGGTCTGTGTCTGTGTGTCTGTGTGTATGTGTGTGTAGGGGTGTGTGTATGTGTATGTGTGTGTATGCGTGCATGTGTGTGTGTGTGCACGTGTGTGTGGAGACGCTGCCCCACGCCCAAGGCGGGAGGGGTGGAGATGCGGCTCCAGCCCAGCCGGATGCCCGAGACCGCTCCTTTCCTGCTCCCCATGGTCTCTCCAGCTTTGGAGACGCGGCTGCTGGTTCTAGGGACTAGGAGATAGGGAAGAAGCCCCTGTCCCTGCTGGGACGCGGCGTCCACAGTCCGGGCCTCTCCCGACCCCGATGGCTCCCCCAGGAGCCCCAGCGGCCCCTGGCCTCCACCCCTGAGGGCGGAGGTTCTTCTGGTGCCTTTCCTGGGGCTGGACTCAGGTCCTGGGTACTCTCGCTTGGCTTTTTCACTCAAAGGTGGCACCACTTGCACCACACCTCCACTTGTGGCTTTCGGGTAGGTATTGGAGAGGAGAGTCTCATGGACTTTCCTGCCCAGGCTGGCTTTGAACTGCAGTTCTCAGATAGCCTCCTGAGTAGCTAGGATTCCAGGTGTGTCTTCCAGGGCCCCAGGTCCTGGAGCTGGGCGGGGAGGGGGGCGCTGGCCAGGCCCGCCACACTCCTGGCAGACAGACTTCTGGGAAGTGCCAGCAGGCATGGCCAGCTGGAGGGCCGCGCCCAGCGCCTGCACCCAGCCTGCGGCCCCCGGCCCGTCCAAGAGTGGACAGAGGTCTCCCGGGAGGTGATGGCACTTCCGCCTGTAGGAGTAAGAGGTAGCCCAAAGTTGGAAATCCAGGGCATGCATGCTGCGTCCCCCCCCCCCTGCCCCGGGTGCTCACCCCCCCCCGCCCTGGGGTGCTCACCTCCCCCGCCCCGGGTGCTCACTGTCCACCCCACCCCCGCCCTGGGTGCTCACTGTCCCCCCCCCCCCGCCCTGGGTGCTCACCTCCCCCGCCCCGGGTGCTCACCCCCCCCCGCCCTGGGTGCTCACCCCCCCCCCGCCCTGGGTGCTCACACTCCCCCGCCCTGGGTGCTCACCCCCCCCCCTGCCCTGGGTGCTCACCCCCCCCCGCCCTGGGTGCTCACCCCCCCCCTGCCCTGGGTGCTCACTGTCCCCCCCCCCCCGCCCCGGGTGCTCACTGCCTCCCCCCCTGCCCCGGGTGCTCA